AAGTGTTTGGAAAGAAAGGAAACAAGACATTGTAGCACTTTATTATCATTTGTTGAACTTATGCCTGAAACTGTTAACATGTGGCCCAGGATAAATGGGGACAGAAATGGGTTACTTGGTGATAGAAGAGGAAGGAGGGAGACCATAAATGCACTGCTGCAGTCTTTTAAAAAACTAGATGTTATAATAATAATGATGATGATGATGATGATGATGATGATGATGATACATAATCAGGGGTAAAATGCAAAAATAAAAAAGGATTAATTTAAAAACTTAAGAGTGCCACCACTTTCCATTTCTAATCATACTCTTCAAAGGTAATCATTATTAAATTTTTGTATATCCAATCAGATATTTTCTATGCTCATGTGGACATAGCTGTACTATATACGTATTTCTTATTATACGATACAACCATGACACTAGACTGTTTTGTAAACCTTTTCACTTAAAAATATATTGGGGCATCTTTCCATATCAGTACATAGGGCTCTATCTTCTTTTTAATAGCTAATTTCACAGGTATAAATATACCATTTATTTATCCAGATCCATAGTGATGACATTTAGATTACTTCCATACTATTCTAGTTATACAAAGCCAGAATTTATCCTTCCTAAAATTTCTTTTGATAATTTCTTTTAAATCATTTGGAATAAACCTAACCTACCATTTAATAGCTCTTTAAACATTTGAAAATCACCATCATATGGGGGAAATGGGAAACTAAATATAAGTGTTGAGCTCTAATATCAGAAATCAATAGGGGAAAGGATTTCCTCAAATAAAAACAATCTAAATGTCTGACAACACAAAATAGTCGGTGGGTGCCTACATTATGGCCTATGAAGAAGATGGGCTATTACACAATTATTAGAAACATAAAGACTCTGCAGCATTACAATAAATGCTGTAATGCTAGATGAAAGAAGATGTAGTTTCAGGTAACTTAGATTAACCATGAAACATGTCTGCAAGTGAAGAGATATTCAAATGAAACGTAGCGGAGTTAGGGTAGTAAGAGCATGGATCATCATTTCTTTTCAAAATATCTTTTCATATTTTATAATTTAATTTCTACCATGAATGGAAAAAAAAATGATAGCTATTACGATGATCAAGATGATCATTCTCAGTTTCAAGGTCCTCTTTACTTTCTTCCCTGATTATCTTGGAGATACCAATCGTCATAGTAAACAATCAGGTCTTGAAATTTCTTGATGGCAAAGTTACAATCAGCCAACAAAGCATGAGGTGTGACTGCCCACAAGAGAAAAGAATGGAATGAAAGGGAAGATGGTAGAGATCAAAGAAGGGACAGTCAGGAAGAGCTCCAGCTTAAGTTGTGTTCACAATCATCTAGCGCCACCATTCTATCTTCGTATGAATAGGGAACTGATTATGAATTTCCAGATCATATCATATGGTCAGGGCAATGGGGTCAAAAACCCAAGGTAATGATTAAGACCTGGATATTAAGAAGGAAGAAATGGTCACACTCCCAAGCCAATATAAAAGTTCCTATTTCAGAAATTTAAAGTCTCAGGGAGCCTAGATGGCTCAGTTGGTTAAGCGTCCGACTCTTGATTTCGGCTCAGGTCATGATCTCACAGTTCATGAGTTTGAGCCCAGTGTCGGGCTCTGCACTGACAGTGTGGAGCTTGACTGGGATTCTCTCTCCCTCTCTGTCTGCCCCTCCCCCTCCCAAAATAAGTAAATATTAGAAAAAAAAAAAAAGAAATGTAAAGTCTCACAACATGGTCAGAATAGCATTTTTTAATTTAAAAGCATTCATTCCTCCCCCCAAAATTCATCCATTTTAAAGGACTGATTAATTCCTTGAACAAATCTAAGTCACAATGCATTTCTTTTTAAACTATTCCTTGTCATGATACCCAAATATTTTGCAAATCACTGGCATATGATGAATAATGACAGACAAACACTAGTGCATAAAAACAACAATTAGATTATTTTGGTCACTGTGTGCCTTTGGCATGGAAGGTTGTTTATTTACAATGCCACATCACCTTGGTTCTGAAGAGAGTGGCATATAAGCTCTGGCTGGTTAAACATTAACTAGTGATGAGTCACATTTGCAGCTGGAACTCACTCTAGAAAAACAGGGAGAGAAATGTTTGTGCTTGTAAGTTAGAACTAGGAGTTCATGCCTTTATTTATTCATTCATTCATTCTTTATTTTTGAGAGAGAGAGGCAGAGCAGGAGTGGGGGACGGACAGAGAGAGGGAGGGAGGGTGACTCCGGGCTGTCAGAGAGAGAGAGAGAGGGAGACATAGAATTCAAAGCAGGCTCCAGGCTCTGAGCTATCAGCACAGAGACCGATGTGGGGCTTGAACCCATGAACCGTGAGATCATGACCTGAGCTGAAGTTGGACGCCCAACTGAATGAGCCACCCAGGGGCCCCCATGCTTACATTTATAAGACATGGTCAAATCCTGTCTACTTTCTTGTCAACTGATTTACTTTCAAAATAAATTTGCTTTTTTGGCCATCCTCAGGAAATATTTTTATTAATAACTTGGCAAAAATCTAAAAAGGCAAAAACTTATCAAATCTTCCTAACTTTTTTCTGTCACAAAAATTCTTCCTAACTACCTACTATGTGAAAGAACTATGTTAGGACTTGAGATAAACTTGAGACACAAGGGTGCAGAAGAGACAAGCCTTGTTCTCGGGAGCTTATGGTCTTATTGCAGGGCTGGGGGATGGAATGTGTAATTACAATTAAAGAGCATTCGATATGTAATCACCAGTAACAGAATCAAGACTGAAAAATATCCCAATATGGCATTAAAGATGTTTAAGTGCTCAAAATCAATTATATTACCACAAAATTCAGAAAGCCTGGGTTGACGCCAACATATATATATATATATATATATATATATATATAAAAGA